TCAATATAATCAATGAAGCCCCCACTGACTTTGCTGTGGTTTTCTTGGGTTTTCTCAGTCATCCAAAATGCCTCGTGTCCCCCGGCCTTTTCCAAAACCAACTGGAATGTCTTACACAGGGATGGGCAACTATGGCGACTCTACGACCTGTGGACTTCAACTCCCAGAATTCCTCAGCCACCAGTAGAGAAAACGTCACAAGGCAAGAAACTGGACTCGTAAACCACAGAAAACCTCTTTGTGTTAACTATCTACACAAGTTAGCTGGTCTTCATCCCCCCCCCCCCCTTGGGAAATCCTCTTCCAGAAATTATTACGGCATCTCCAGTTGTGCCTGCCCTTCACCCTTCAAGGGGACAGAACCGGGGAGGAGAAGGGGGCGGGCAGGACACCGGCAGAAGGGGAGGGAACAGCAACGAATTGCTTTGGAGGGTTTTTCGTTACTCCTTGCTTGATTCTACATCCACATCTCTGCCTGGAGGCCCAGTTACTGGAAAAGCCAAATTGTTAAGCTGATAAAAAGTTAAAACCTCTCATCCTAGCTGAAAGGTTCTGGCTAAAGGGGAGCGCCTGGTTTCCTTCCCTGGAGGCCGAAAGAGCTTGGCTAAGGCCAACCTGCGAGGGAGGGGGGGGGAGAGAGAGACCCTCCGCCCAGGAACAACTTCACTCGGGGCCCCCCTCCTACGGGCACACTGTCGCTCCCACGGGAACCGCACAGTATATTTTATGGTCCATGCATTCAAACTGGCATTTATCAGATGTATGGATACCTTCCCACCTAGAGGCTGCCTATCCACCTGTGCCCACCCAATATCATAAATGCCAAGAGGGTATTTTACACGTAAACTACAATGTGGCCTCCAAAAGGGTTAGGCCTAACTGAAGAGCCCCTAGTAGGCAAACTATTAATCCCGGGAGCAACCTTATGGCGCTGCCTGGCCTTCCAAACAGACCCCCAGCATCATCGGGTGAGGCTCAGCTACAAAACGGAGCCTCGGTGCCTGGAATTCATTAGGAGTGTTACGTGTTTAATTTTCCCTGCCCTCCAGCTCCACCGTCTCATAAAAAGATGGCTCTGATGTTCCCCAGTAAGAATTAAAGAAATATTGTAATTGAAATATCATTAATAATGGATGCCTTTCTCCTCTATGGCAAGACACCCAATGAAATATTAATGGGGTTTCACAGACGGAGGGTCTGCAGAAGAGCACTTGCCTGTAATTTGTGCCGCGAGTCCTGATCTGGCTGTAACTCAGGCCTGCCAAGAAGACAATTATCTGGATGGTCTTGCCCAGGCCCATCTCGTCCCCCAGGATGCCTCCTACCTGCTGGCAGTGCAGCTCCCACAGCCACCTCACACCTGTCTGCTGGTACCTGCAAAGGGGGAAGCCGCAGGAGAGAGGGAGAGGGAGAGGGAGAGGGAGGGAGAGAGAGAGAGGGAGAGCATAAAGACGGGCTGGGTGCAGGTCTCCTCCTGCCCCGCCTCCTCCAACCGACCGTCACAGCCACAGGGCTCCTGCAGCAGGGCCACAATCACACGCTAGAAGGGATCTGAATTCCACATGTCTTTGAAGGGCATTTCGTGTTTCACCCGAGGGTTATGCCGCCAACGGCTCCCGCCTTTCATCAGATCCACAGGGACCGTGTTTTTAGCAGCCTAGTAAGGGGGGGGTGGTGTTGAAACACCACAGGGGCTTCCTAGTAACCAAAGGGTCTCTTCACAGGGACAAAGAGTAAAAGGATTTCTTCCAATTAAGTTGATGTTTTATTAATTGCACTTCCATGGCAAGATGATGGCCAGGGCCCAGACAGAACCTATTTTTGATGGATTAAGGGGAAGGGGGTGGCCAACAGGTGGCAAGGACGGCAAGGGATTGCTTGGATCGGGAGGGGCCTTTCTGTTTTTCCTCAGGTTCTTTTTTTTTGGGGGGGGGGGAGCATTAATTTTACCTTATTTTAGGCACAGCAAATCTGCAGTGTAAGAGCCGTTTTACCCATTTCTTGCCTCAAAATGGCAGGAATGGAACAAAACAGTTGAGAGTGTCCAACCATATGCTAAAACATCACCAAGTAACGATAGTTTATGAATAAAATTGAACCCGCACATTTTGATAGGTCAGACTGGGTTTATTTGGCTAAGCTTTCATCCAGGCCCCGCAGTATATAAACCATGATTTAGGGCTTAACCTGCTGCGTAATTCCAGACAAGTGTAGATTATCAGCAATCATGGTTAGGAAATCAAGGTTTATGAACTTCTCCTTGGAGGGTTGGGGTGAGAAGAACACCGATATAAGTGTGGATACAAGCCAATTAGGCTGAATTAAAATAAGCAGAAGCAGGAGGCTCCCACCTGGTAAATAAATTATAAGGGGAAATTCACCGAATAGAGGCACTTCTCCAGATTAAAGCAAATAAATAATTCCAAATCCACTATCAATTAATCAACTGGCTCTATTTCGTATTTACCTAAATGTCTCCCCTCGGTGATCCTTGCGCTAAGGGGGACCATGGTGCTGACCGCCTCTGCCCTGGGGCTCAACACTGAAAGCGCAGGCCGCCCCCAAGGAAAGAGGGGAGCCAGGCTCAGCGTCTCAAGTAGCGGTTCTCACAATGGCCACCTGGAAAGGGAGCCCTTCACGGGGCCAGAGGAAGCAGCCGTCACCAAGCGAGGACCAGGGGAAACCGTACAGATTCCTAGCCGTAGTGAAGCTGGCAGCTAGGATAAAGAGGGAGGTTCAAGGAATTCTGCCTCACCCGTCAGGAACAATTTGTGGGAACGAGAACAAAAACTTTGAAAGCCTAATTTGACGACTCTGAAAGGCAACTGCTGTGATTACATCTGACGGCTTACTTGGTGGGGCGGAGGGGGGGGGTTCAAGAGAGGTCAGAAGGACCCCGTTGAAAGCCCTGGAGTGGACGGCAGAGGGACTCGTAGCCGCTTCCGCCTGCCGGGGACTCCAAAATGCTCTGCTCTAATTTCTTGTAACTTTTTTTCATTCACTCTTTCACTCTTTTCAACCCTTTTCCCAAAATTATTTGGGCACCAAGACAGGAAGGAAACGAGAGGCTTTTAAAATAAGCCTTTTAAGAACGAGAGCTGGCATTCTTTTCATGTACCTACTTGTACAGTTTCTTGAAGAGGTAACCTGGAACTTTAAAACCCTCAAGAAATTCCGCATCGCTTTCGTCAGACTCTTCGGCCGTGCTCTGACGCTGCCCTTTCCGGTCCCTCAGCTGCTGTCTGTGCCACCTCCTGAAAGGACGGTAAGAATCACCAGGTCATCCCTCAAAGCAGGGAAGCTGATACTCATAGGGCAGCTCACAGGGAAGGAAGAGTAAATGTGAAAAGCACCATCCTCCGTTCTCAGAGCACAGCAGGGTTGCTCCGGAAAGGGACAAAACTTTCAGCCAAACAAATCAACGTTTACAACATCCAGACCCCCCCAATAAGCCCCGTGAGGGGAAACGCTGCTGGGGAATCCCTCCCATCCCAGGATGGCCCTTCCGTGAAGGAAAGGGGATGGGAGCTCAAGAGCTTCTGCATCCATCCAGCCAGGCCACGCATCAGGTGGTCCACACAAAGCCAGCCAATGCGAAAGGGGGGGGGGTTCTCCTGCCCCTCCATCCAGATCCAGATCCTAAGGCTGGGGCCACAAGGCTTCCATTCTCCATGCTGCCCTCGGAGACTGGCCACTGAAGGGACCGTGATGATGTCCACCCTGGTGGAAACCCTGCTCCGAGCGAGGCAGAGGAGCAAGGGAAGGCAGCCTTGGCTGCGTCTACGTCTTCCGTGTGCCTCGGGCTCAGTCTTCACGCCTGAACATTGTCTCCGGATACAAAAGTCCTCCGCATACGAGGGTTTTTGATCTTATAGGAGGAACAAGAAACAACTTCTCATACAAATTCAAATTAATTTGCTGTGTGGAAAACAGACAGTCCGTAAAAGAGCAGATTAACATTCTAGTTTTATTCATAATATGCACAAAAAAGCCCCAAGCTTTACGCCCTCCAGAGACTGAGGGGAGAGGCTGCCCTCTGGTGCGTAAGAGACACATCTCCCACCGGCTCCCCCTCTACGGTCTCAGCCCTTCAGGAGGGAGAATTCTGCCTTCTCTTCCCAGGCAAACGGAGGACGTTTGAGGGAAAACAAAAAGCAAGCATGGGGGGTGTTTTCAGCTCTGAAATTTTGAGTCGCTGAACTTTTTAATCCCTGAAAGTGTAAAAACATATGGGGATTTTTTTCAAAATAGAAATTTGTCTCAATTCCCACCTGCGCCTGGCCACAGTGTGGCTCTGTCGACGTAGGGAGGGCAACCGTCTTTGTGAGGGGAGAAGCCCAGGGGACCTCGCTAAGAATCGGGCTGGGAGGGCAAAGATTCAAAGGATGGATGGGAGAAGGCGGCAAAAGCAAAACCAAGCTCTGACAGGTTTGCCCCCCTCCTAGCTAAAATAAACAGGAGTAAAATAATGAAAGGAGAGGAAATGGCCACTCTCAGCAAGCCCCCAGCCCCCTCTTAAAACAGGGATCCTCCCCGGAGACCAGGAACTCCGCTTGCAAGTATTGTTGATGGCTCAGGGAACTTAAGTCTGCTGGGATTTGCTTTGGGATGTTGGTTTTATCACGGTTTCCCCAGAATCCTGGCGCATAAACACGTAAACAAAGTAATTCATGTTATGACATTTGTGTATTTTGCACACTCTCCCTAACTTAAGAGAGCTGAAGACCTTCTTCTCACACACAATGCTACCCAGGGACGCAACTGCGGCCATCAGGGGCCCCTGTGCTCTTCTGCCCTCTGCACACCTCTCTGTGCCCACTGCAGAGAGGCTGAAACCTGGGGCTTTCCAAGGGCTTCAAGAAGCAGCAGCATCAGAGCTTATGCCAGATCCCGGCATGTTCTCAACCAGGGCAGAAAACAGAGGGGAGGGCCCTGCGTTTGGGGTGGGGATCTCAACTGAGCCACTGGGTTAAAAACAGTTTCTCTCCGTAAGTAAGTAAATAAGCAAACAAACAAACAAACAAAATGTTTAGGTCAGTTAGGAAGTAATTAATAAGATTTTTTTTTGTTTTACTGCGGACTCCACACTTTATAACATCTTAATAAGTTTGAAGCACCAAGATCTCCAATCTGGCTACTTTCTAAAGAACTATCATTTTTTACTTCATGTACTTGTTTATAGGATTTAACATTTCTCTATTATTACTTCTAATTTTTACCTTATCAAAACAGCGCTTTGTTCAGTAATGATCAACCCTTTCTTACGGAAAATAATATGACAATTGCTGCATTTAATTCAGGCAACATCAAATATTCTTCCATCAATAGGGGTTTTTTAAACTGTAAAATATTTCATCACTGTGTACAATCAATTTTAAACTCAAAATGTCTTTTTAGTTTCAATCATTCTCCCAAACCTAACCAGAAGTCGAAACAGCTCCATGTTTAAGCTTGGAATGCACCTGGATGGAACAGCATAATCAGTTGAACTGGATGATTTCTTTGGACTCAAAGCAGCTGATAAATAAATTTATTTAGTTGCCTTATCAGCCGTTACAATCAACTGACTGAGCACTATACAATTGTGTAAGTCCACAATTTCAATTAAAATACATAAGTACCAAAACCACACACGATAACCCAATCATTTCTTTGCCAGGAATCAAAAATTCCAAAGCCACAATTAAATTGTGTAAAGTAATTAATCATTACTGAAGCTGATTCCTTCCTTCCTTTATAAGACTTTCAGTAATCAGTATCTAACTTCCGCAGCTGTCTATTCTCATGTGATTAGACACCTTGTAATAAACAAGAAAAAGCATATTATTTAGTCAAATTGCTATAAAAGGATAGAATTAAGCAAAATGATATTTTTATGTGCCACAAGAACAAGAGAAAGACGAAACAGTTGATGTTTCAAAATATACCCAGGAATCAAGCTGGGTTTATATATAGTTTATGCTTCTAGAAGACAATATTTTTTTATTTTCAAAAAGACAAGAATCCCTTAATGATCATTATCATTTTGAAAACCGAGAGAACATTTTATTCTTCAGATCTCTTTATGACTTGTGCTAAGTCTGTCTAATTGCTGCTTCCTTGGCAGTTGAGATGATGCTATCAAAATTGCACATCTTAACAAATAAAGAAAAAACTGACTGAAAATTAGGAACGAAAGCTGCATTTGGATTCTTATTCTATGCTCCCTAGTTTTACGAAGCTGTCAGTATTTTGGATTACCCTGTGCTTAAAATGCAACATTTAAATGCCTCTTGAAAGATTGAGTTTGTTTTAAAAGAGGTTCAGAAGAACTTTCAAAAGGAGAAGCATTTTTTTAAACAATAGAATTTTATGAGAGGCTGGGATAGTGGGGTACCTATTAATACCCGTATTTCCTTCTACTTAAAAGAGATACTTTTCTTCCACCAGTACATGTTTGGGGCATCATCTACTTTCTTCCAAAAATGGAAGACTGCTTAGTAAATTTCTGTCCAGCCAGCCTCTTAGTGGCTCTCCTGAGCATGGCAACACAGCAAAAAGGGGGTTTCTTGGTCCAGGATGGAGTGAGGTCTCCTGCCTCGGGCAGGAGGGGCGCTGCTGGACTAGAGGATCTCCAAGGTCCCTTCCAGCCCTAGGATTCTATATTCACCATTTTGCCAATCATAAAGCAGGCAGTCCCCACATCAGACCCACCGCTAAAGCCAGGAGCTACCCTGCCAGCCCAATCTCTCCCATCCTCTCAAGCGCCCCCCCCCCCCACTTCCTGGCCACGGCTGCAGACAAATAACTCTTGCCAGAACCAGTGGGGGGGGGTCTCCTCGCTCGCCTCCCACCTCTCTCTGGAATCATACTTTTTTTAATTGGCCTTGTGCTTCCGATGCTCAGAGGAGACACGCACAGACCCCAAGCTGGCTGTCAAGCTCCACCATCATCATAATCTTTTAATCGTGATGAAGAACCCTCTCCGAGTGTAATCCTGAAAGCTTCTCTGTGGGAAGGAAAACTCATTTTCTTTCCCTCTTTTTTTTTGGGGGGGGGGGGGGGAAGGGGGATTCCCCACACAGCCGAGGGCTCAACCCAACCACCCAGGAGAAGGAGCAGCCCCCATGATCTGGCAGGGGAGGGGAAGAAGCAAAGCCACCCTCTTTCCATCCGGTTGTTTCCATCAACTAAAATCAAGAAATAAAATGCCAGTCTGAGGAAATGAGGCTTTGTGGACCATTCCTCTCCGGTTTCCACCTCCCAGGAGCATTCCCCTCAAGGGGGCTCACCTGGGGAGGGAGGGGCAGGACAGCCACCTCAGTGTGGACAGGTGCAGACTGACAGCCGTGAGAGCCTCTGCCTGTCTGTGAAACTTCAGGTGTGATGTTTCCTTAGCAATTACAGTTAGCGATATCTATAAAATACATTCAGGCTTTTATTGTAACTTCGGCAACTGCGGAAAACAATGTAATTTTACAAAATTACAGTCTTAACGTTATTAAAAAAAACTTGCTGGAACGGATTTAAAATGTGAATCATATTAAAACTTTCAATCAAAATAAATTACTCCTGATGAAAACACTGAATTAAAAATGATTTAATATTGAGCTAGCTTAATGAAAAAAGCTAACTTTTAATAAAATAACAAATGTCTTACATTTAACGTATGTATTAGTTCCTTGCAATGTCTCTCAAAAAGTTTTTTTTTCTCTTAAGCCACAGATATTTCTTGGTTTCTTCTCAAAAATCCAGATGAGAGAATATTGTTCTTTTGAAAATAAAACATTTGAACGTATTTTAAGCTAAATACTCAAGGCCAATTTAGATTGCTCAGTCCCAAAATGTTCAAAGGCAAGATGGGTTGGTTATTTGTTATTTTAGAAGAAATATTGAACTAAAAGTTTAAAACATTAAACTTTATCTTTTGATTTAAAAAAAAATGTCCAGAGCGTAACTTCTCAATTATCTATCAAGCTGGACTTAAATTCCAAAGTAGTAAACTCCAATAACCTTCTAATAATTGGAATTACACAACTGAAATAACCCAAGTATTCAAAGAAATTTTGCAGTCTCTGAGCAACTAAAGGCAAGAAGGGTAAGACACATAATAAACACGGCAGACTTTGTCTAGCCAAGACAATAATAATATCACATTTGTATCTGCCAGGTAACAATTATGCCTTTGCATTGACTAAAAAGGTTGAACTAATTACAGTTTTGAGAAAGAAGCATCCACTAAAAATATTTGGTCTAACCTGAGAGAGAGACTGGAGAGAAAGGATGACGAGAGACCAGGAGCTCACCATCTCTTTGAGCCATCTTTCCTCTGCCTCACTCGGTTTTTCTCACTGTCCCATCCCCCCACAGCAGAGACTGGAGATGGAAGGATTACAAGAGAGTAAGCAAGCACACCGTATCAAAAGGAAACAGCCTCGGCTTTTTTACCAGATCATTCAGGGCAGGGAGCTGCAAGGGTGTTAGGCCAATGGTCCTGGCGCATTCCTTCACTCCGTATTCCCCACTGTAGTTCCTTCCTTTCCAGAGGATGCAAATGCAAACATTAATTCCCTTATTATGCTAATTATCCCAAGGCTGGGAAGGGCATTTCGTGGGGTGGGGGGATGGGGAAAAAGGAAAGCTGAAATAAAATTATAAGCACACTTGCATCCTCATGATTTTCCACTTAGCCACTGTGTCGCCAGACCCAACTGTGGTTACTAAACAAAAGCTACCTGTAATTTAACCTGCTTTAATCCCATAATCTGGGCCTTCCAATGTATAAACGTGTGCTTTACACTGACCTTAACCTTTGCTTATAGTAATCTTCATTGCCATCGTCCTTGTATCTCTTTATTCTCCGCCTCCTAGTAAGGCCCTCTCCTTCTTTGCCTTCGTCTTCTTCGGAAGAACTCGGGAAGAAATCATCATCCGAGTGGTCTTCTTGCTTCAATGGGTCTTCCCAGGACACGGGACGATTCACACCCAGACCCTCCTCCTCCTCCTCTGAAAGGCTGAGGTCTTCACGAGACCCCCTGCATCCAGAGGCCTCCCACTCCTCCTGCTGCTCCCTCTTCTCTGATTCCCCGGCCTGGGGAAGCTTGGCTTTGGCCTGAAGGCAGACAGCCTGTTCCTCCTCCTGCTGCCGCCGCAGAGGGCCAGCAGCCTCTGGTGGGCCTTTGCTCCTCCTGCCTTTGGTGAGAGAGGCTGGGGATTTGGCCTGGCTACCCCGCGCTTTCTGCTGGGCCCCCTTACGAAAGGGGGTTTTCTTCCTCTGGGACAGGAGCTTCTCCTGATCTGCCAAAAGCTTTTCAAAACCCGACGTTTCGTTCAGCATGATCCGCCGGGGCTTCCTCTCTTCTTTCGGAAGCATTTTCGTCCCAAAGGGAGTCATCTGGCCAGTTCGGATGAGCTTCTCCCATTCGGTCTCTTCCTGCGCTGACATAAGCATCCTTCCGAGGGACGAAGGACCGGGAGCTAAGAGAGACACGCAGCCTTCTAAGTACATTGGAAAGGACGACCCAGAATTTTCTTTCCCTAACAACAATAACCAGTGCGAATAAGAGTCGTGCAATTTGTCCATGTTGGAAAAGCGTTCTACGTAAAAATGTAGAAGCAGAGTAAGAACTATTCTCCATCATCCCAGAAAACAGGCTGTGAAATAATGGATGTGAGTTGTACAAAGGCAAACTCCGACTAAATGATTAAAAGATGTTCTACCAAAAAGAAAAGTTTAAAGGAGCAACTAATTACCCCGAGAAATTACTCCTTCCTTCCCTGGCTCTGCTCAGCAGAGCTAATCCCTTGTCAATGATATTTCAAACGGGATTCCTGCCCTACATAAGAGGCCTAAAAGGCCCTTTGCAACTGTAGGATTCCAAGTTTTTCAGACAGATTTTTCATCCCAACCAACCTCCTGCTGTTCAAACCTTCCGTTTTATTTTAACCGTTAAAAAGGCAAAGTCATATTTTCTCTGCAGGTCTCCGGTGGGTCTTTAGAATTTCAATATACATATATAACCACCAATACTCAAAAGATAGCTTGCTCCATTAAAACAATGTTATTCTACTCCGCATAATTTTAACTGCTGACAGATAATATTGCAATGAAAAATATATTTCAATCATGCTTTTTGTCAACTTAAACATTTTCTGCATCTCCGTTCATTTGATTAACACTTGCAATTGATTAAGACCAATGTTCCAATCTCGAGGGGACCAGCATCCCTTCTGAGCTATCTGGAGAATTACTTTCATTTGTGAAAAATCCCCACGCGCCTACTCAGAGATCCCATTTGGCAGGTGTGCAAAATTAAAACAGTGCTAAGCCTCTCTAAAGAACCACCCGCTGAAACATGTTAGCGTCTTCATTTGCATTCAACTACCGAAATTTCATTTGAAGGAAACATCTACCAAAATGGCCTCCAAGCCCATCCCTGGATTCCTTCGCTTCGTGGTCTCCCGCCGTCCCGTCTTCAGGATCTTCCTCTTCCCCAGCGTTTTGAAGGTGCTTTTGTTTCGTTTTCATTTTTTTAAACTCTTGCTCCTGAAATGATTGGGAAAGAAATAGTAAGAGCCGAGTGGAGAAAGCCTCTTCCCGTACACGGAGAGCCTGCGGAGGTTCCGTACTTCAGCAATGGGAAATATACGGTCACGTGATGGGGAAAGCCCCTCTCCCTGTATTCCTGGCCCAGTAGGGAGGTTTAAGGCAAGGCCCTTCAATGGTCTTCACCCTAAATACAGTTCCTCATTCAGTACTACAGGTAACATTTGCAAAGGGCTGTGAAATCCAGGTGCATCAGGGTTTATTTTCCAATCAGGTCTTGTTTTCAGGGAAATATGGTACTAAATGCCTCTGGCTGGCTGATGATCTTACCTGGGGCTTATTTTGGGGGGGTAGGGCTTATATTAAGAGCATTCTGGGGAAAAATCATGCTAGGGCTTATTTTCCAGTTGGGTCTTATTTTCGGGAATACACATTAACAGTACTAAAAGAAAGCTAAAAAGAAAAATAGAGAGATTAAAATGTCAAGAAAGAAAGCAACTGCCATCTTTACCGTGACAGTTATAAACAGTTTCACCGCCTCTCCCCCTCCCCTTAGTTAAAAGATATAAAACCCGTCCTTTAGGATTTCTCACCAGGCTGCCTATTACTGCTATTTTTAGAATGTCTGCCTACGCTGATCTCTTCAGTCCTTTTAGGAGCACCTGAGCAGGAACCCTGGCGGCACCCGCTTAGCATCTGGCTTGGTATATCTGACATATAGGGTTCTGTTTTTTAACCTATAGGTCGGCTCCGTATTCCTGCATATCTCGTGACTTTACAGCCCTGTGACTTGCAAAGGACTTCATGAACAATGACTAAAGAATTAGGACAAGAAACATTTTTAAAAATCACTTCTCCGTGGAAAAAAAATTAAGAGTGAGATGAACAAGGCTTCATCATTTCTTTTCACTAGGGCATATTCTAAGGATTTAGTTAGCATCAAAACCAGGTAATAGCTGGTTTTGTGAGGATTTCAGAGGTAGTAACAACTGTAAGCGATACTATATATATAAAATTGAAATTTCAAATGAATTTAAACAAGTATTAAACGTGGATCATTCCAAGAGTTAGAACAAATGTCATACACAAGTAACAACCGTCCATTACTTTGTTGCAGTTTTGTTCTTTTGCAGAATCCAGTTTTCTACCGATGTCCTCCTTAGCCTGAGGTCCAATTTGCTCCGTATGGTTTGTAGCAGATGGTTTTGGAGAGGATGCACTTGGTCTGAAAATGAAATTCAATTACGTTAAAATAATTGGATTAAAAAGCAAATCCTAAATATATTAATAGGAAGTACAAACATCTCTTTATTTCTGGGGAGCCGGAGTCTGCCTTAAAATGTTGGTACCTGAGCTCTAGCAGGGAGACTGGAGGGTGATCTGCAAACTTCAATTCATAAAATATGTGTTATCATCCTAAATTCAATGCAATCCAAATCAGCAATTTCACCTTCATACTTTCACAACGCTAAGTGAACTGACTGGAATTATTGTGTTCTCAGCATTCACTAATCAAGGAGGTGGCATTTGATGGCTTGCAATCATTATTTTCAGTCGGATGGGAAAAGGCTTTTCATTCCGGGGCTGAAATGAAGCCAGGAGTCACTGCAGGCCAATTAGCAGCACAGGCCCTGCTTTTGCAAAGTTTCAAAGGAAATTATCTGCTGGTGATACAGAGGCTTTGTTCTCCAACGTAGCCGCTTTATTTCATTCTGAACTTTCAGAGAAGGCCTGCCGAAGCGTAGCCCAGGCAGGCAGTCAAAACCTCCCTTCACTTACCCCACACCTTCCAATTCAGCTTGGTCGCCTGTTTCAGGAGCATCATGAAGTGGACGCCCTTCAGCGGCTTCACCGATCGCCTTGTCTATCTGCTGAAGGACTCCATGCTCCAAGACCTCTTGGTCGTAGACCTCGACTCCCAGCAGGCCTCTGAGTTCAAGCGCTTGGTCCTTGGGGGCCACCGACCGAATCTGCTGCCGGTCGATTAGCAGCGAGGGGCCTTTTCGGAGGGGCCCCAAAGAAGCCTCTGCCGACGGTGCTTTGTTCTCCAAGGCCCGCCCCTCCCCGTGGTCCCCCATATGATATTCACGGGGCATCCAATCATCCCCTGGCTTATTTGCTTCATCTGCTCGGCCATCTGCTCGGCCATTGCTGCTGCTGCCGCCGATATCAATTTTCTGGGCTTGAAGGCTTTCTTCTGGCTGGAGCTTCTGGGCAGGCATCCTGTGTTCAACCACAAAAGAAAAAAGCCATTTTGGACACTGAATTTTAGGAATTTGCATTTTGAGCAGCTCTGATTTTGAATTTTCATGGAACAAGCCAAAAATCAGATGATATACTGACTCACTTCAAAACCTTACATAATGTCCGCACAGCCCTTAAAATCTGGCTATCCCGTCAGGCCTGGGGCTAAAGATTGTAACCCACCCGAATGGTTTGAATTTTGTGCTTTTTATTATGTTTTGTTTTACGTGCTAAATGTTTGTTTCCCCCCCCCCCCTTTGAGTTGTAAGCCGCCCTGAGTCAACCCAGGGAAAAGGGCGGCATATAAATAAACTTTCATAACTCATAACTC